GATCTCTGTGAGTTCGAGGCCAGCCTGGGCTACCAAGTGAGTTCCAGGAAAGGCGCAAAGCTACATAGAGAAACCCTGTCTTGAAAAACCAAAAAAAAAAAAAAAGTGGAAGGGGGAATCCTAGGGTTGGAAAAGTATAAGTGGAGCGGTGGTGGGGGATGGAGAGAGGAGAAGGGTAGAGGGAGAATCAACTAATACTATGTGTGGAAGAACAATAAGGAAATCTAATCCTTGTTAAGCTAATGAAGATTAAATTAAAACGAAAGTTTGAATAGAGCAATCTGTGTGGGTGGATCAGGTACTTTCAGAAGCCATGGGTTATTAAACAAAAATCTCAGTGCTGATTGGCTACCTTCCTATGACTCGTTAATCAGGGAGGCCTCTGAGACCTTCAAAACAATGCAGGGAATTGCCAATCTCGTTGTTTTCCCATCAGAACTAGATGGTAAGATCTTCCTACTGAAGGGTCTTAGAGAATCCAAACTGAACCTGGGCCAGAAGCTTCCTCCCTGTTGGCTAACATTCACAGTGCAGGAAGGTGCTATGCAGGTCATTGAGGGAGAATTGCCGTCAACAGCTAGCGGTAGGCGCTGTGTGCAACAATAACGACCCGCCAGGCTAGACGAGCACACTGGTTTGGTAGTAGAAAGTCTGTTGTAAGAGTGCCCTAGTTCATTTTCTGTTGCTGTGATACATGTCATGACCAAAACCAAGTCAGAGGAGGGAAGAGTTTGTTTAGTTTACACGTCAGGTCACAATACATCATTGAGGAAAGTCAGAACAAGAATTCCATCAGGATAGGAACTCCAGCAAGGAAGAAACTTGAAACAGAAACTATGGAGGGATGCTGCGAATTGGCTTGCTCCCTCTGCCTACTGCTCATCAGCATTCTTATACAGCCCAGGCCCACCTGCCTAGGAGTAGCCCCGCCCACAGTGGACTCAGCCCTTCTACATCAATCAGCAACCAAGAAAATGACCCCAAAGACAAGCCCACAAACCAATCAGATTGAGGCAATCCCCCAGTTGAGGCTCCCTCAGACAGCTCTGAACTGAGTTAAATTGAGAGAGGAAGCTAACTAGCAGAAAGGGTCACTAACCACTTTCGGATTGGACTCGATGCCCACTCCACAGGAGGGAATTTACATCTAGCATTGGAGACTCAGTCAAAAGCTGATAGTGGGTATGGTAGTTTAAATGTAATTGGCCCCCATAACCTCATAGGAAGTGGCACTGCTAGGAATGTGGCCTTGTTAGAAGAAGTGTGTCACTGTGGGGGTGGGCTTGAGGTCTCCTTTGCTCAAGCTATGCTCAGTGTGACACAGTTGCCTCCTGTTGCCTGCGGATCAAGATGTAGAACTCTCAGCTCCTTCTCCAGCACCATGTCTGCCTGTGTGCTGCCATGTCCTGCCATGATTAAAATGGACTGAACTTCTGAACTGTAAGCCACGCAATTAAATGTTTCCTTTATAAGAGTTGCCATGGTCGTGGTGTCTCTTCACAGCAGTAGAGACCCTAAGGCAGAGGGCCAGTGGGATGGCTCAGTGGGTAAAGACGTGGCCACCTGAGTGATCCCTGGAACCGACGTGGTGGGAGAGCTGACTCCCGTAAAGTTATCATCTGACCCCCACATTCACATCTCAGCATTATGTGTGCCCCCCACCACTATAAATTAAAAAAAAAAATTTTTTTTTGTTTTGTTTTGAGACAGGATTTCTCTGTATAGCACTGGCTGTCCTGGAACTTGCTCTATAGGCCAGGCTGGCCTAGAACTCAGAGTTCCATCTGCCTCTGCCTCTTGAGTGCTAGGATTAAAGACGTGTGCTACCATGACCAGCTTTGTTTTAAAGTTTCTTTAAAGCTTGTGGTAGTTAAGGTCATAGGCCCTTCAGGCTGTCCTAGGACCAGTGTCTTTTAAAGCCATTGAGCATCCCCCAGTGACTGAACTAATGGCTAAAGAGTTTATATACAAAAGGCACCCTACATGGGTGGAAAAGGAATAAAAATCCTAGTGCCAAGGATGAGCTACATCCCTGTGAGTTATTGACTAGGAGAGTCTCTGAGGATCCTCAGTTCATATAGGCTATTGCTGTTGCTGTTGGCTGTATAGCAGAACTAAATAGTAAGACCCTGTTGTCGAAGACACCACATGTGCATGCTTCACTATAAGGCATGAGAAATTAAGCTGTGACTGAAATGGAAACCCCCACCCTGCTAGCTAGCTTTCACAGTGCCAGAGGGGCCAGGCAGGCTGCTAGTGGAGACCTGTCACCAACATTCCTGCTTGTTGAAATACTGACTTTGCAGCAGGGTGTACCTGATTGTACAATAGTGGCCCAGTTATCATGGATAAGACCAACAGCCTTCCAATTGGAGTTAAGGCCCATTCCACAAAAAGGAGTTCACATCTGGTACTGTAAGGCAGGACAAAAAGCTGCAGCTGAGGAAGTCATAAGCCCCAATGGGGAAGCAACTACTGTGATTTTTCTAGATGGATGTGGACAGCCAACTGCCTTCTAAACGTGTGTTGACACCCATAGATCACTGTTGTTATCAACTTCAACTGATAACTACGGGTGAAGCTCCAGAGAAGAAGTGTTACTGTGGCATGGTGGCCTGTTTCTCAGCCCCAGATGGACATCTGTAGTCACGTCCTCTAATGCTCAGGGATCATTGCAAGAGAGGGGTGGAAAGGATGTAACGGAAGAGCTAAGGGAGGGGTGGAATGTTGTGTAACAGTTTCCTCGGAGATTGAAACATTCCATCCTGCATTGAAGCTACTTAAGCAGGAAGGTAAACAGCTCAAAATAGCTTCAGGAAGTCCCTGAAACTGACTGGATTCTCTAGGCCCCTCCCCGCCAGAGTCAGCAATAAAAGCTGAGAGTCCGTCTCAGAAGAAGTGAAGCTGAGCTGCAAAGAAGACCCTGAGAATAGAAAAGCTGCAAAGAATGGACCCTGAGACCAGAACAGCTTCCTGGAAGAAACAGAAACCAGCTGAGCCGCCTGGAAGAGGTTTAGACCAACTGAGGCACCTGGAAAGGACACTCTTCCATGTTGAGCTGCCTGCAGGCTGTGCAGTGTGCTCCAGGTTCCTGGCTTTGTGAGCTGTTAGCCTTCTTGGGGTGGGATTTGGTGATACAACTGTGTTTGAGTCATTTCTGCTCCTGTAACTCCTTACTCACGTTCCTGTAAGTAACCCCAATAAAACTCAGTGATTCACCAAGCTGGACTTTGGTGGTGTCCACATACTTTGGTCTGTCATGGATTCTGTGATGGTGAACATTATGTTTAGAGGCTAAACTTACAGTGCTAGGCTTGCAAAAAACAAAATTGTTTTTAGCTTTTATAAGCCATGATGAAGTTTCTCCTACCTTGAATGTAATCTGTCAGCTGGCCGAGGACGGGAGACTTCCTGGTTGGGCTGTTCTTTTTGTTTTGTTTCGATTTGTTTTGTTTTTGCAGACAGGGTTTCTCTGTGTAGCTTTGGCGCCTTTCCTGGAACTCACTCTGTAGACCAGGTTGGCCTCGAACTCAGGCTTCTGCCTGCCTCTGCCTCCCAAGTGCTGGGATTAAAGGCGTGCGCCACCACCTCCCAGATTGTTGCAAAGTATTTCACAGCCTCAGCTATTCCTACAAGGTAATATGTCACAAGATTAAATAGGCTAAGTTCTACTTCTGTGTGAAACACTTGTTTCCACGGTTGACGCACCTCCTTGGATGTCTGTTACAAAATCAAACCTTGCCCACACCCAGATAGGTTATGAGTTGATTTGGCTCCCCAAAATTACAGCTTCACGGTTTTTTGCCTTTACGATCCCCAGACTAACAATAACCAAGGCCTTATTCTGGTTGGGTCCCGGCCAGTTTCTTTTTTGTTGTTGTTGTTGTTGTTGTTTTGTTTTGTTTTTGTTTTTGCTTTTTCGAGGCAGGGTTTCTCTGTGTAGCTTTGGAGCCTGTCCTGGATCTCGCTCTGTAGCCCGGGCTGGCCTCAGACTCACAGAGATCCACCTGCCTCTGCCTCCTGAGTGCTGGGATTAAAGGTGTGCACCACCACTGCCTGGCCAGTTTCTTAATTTAAAACAAACAAACAAACAAACAAAAAACCCTCTACTTTACTAAAACCAAAACTTGAGTCAGACTGGTCAATCTCTGAATGACCCCAGACCTACCACGGACTCCTTGTCTAGGGTGAGTAGATGTGTGTGTTGTATCTCCCCAGGAAACACTCTGTCACACAAGAGCCCCACCCTGGATCAAGAATTGCAATTAAGAGCTGCTGAGAGAGGTTGAATCAGTCTTCTCCCAGGATTAGCCCCGATAGGTCATCTGATCCCAAGATCAGCCCTAAGCACAGAAGAACAACACCAAATGGACTCAGCTGCTGTGTGTGTATATGCATATACACACAAACACACATACATAGATACACACATACATACACACATACATACATACATACATACATACACACATACATACATATATACATACATACATACACATATATATACATACACACATACATACATATATACATACACACATACATACATACATACATACACATACATACATACACACATACATGCATACACACATACACGCATACATACACATACACATATATACATACACACATACACACACATACACACATACATACACACACATACATACATACATACATACATACATACATACATACAAAGGGCTTTAGTAGGCTGGAGCATGGCAAACATGGCTCTGGCAGGCCTTGCCCTTCCCCATTCCCCCCTCCTTACTAAACCATAGATTACATTTCTAAAGCTAGCCCCCAAGGTCTATTCCCTTATTTGGCCACTTCCTCCTCCAGAGGCTAACCACCAAGGTCCAGCTATCAGGTATTAAACTCTTTTATTCTTTTGGGGGAGGCCGACACCCAGCTCCCAAATAAAAATAAATCATGCATGAAGGCTTATTTTTTTTTTTTCTGGTTTTTTGAGACAGGGTTTCTCTGTGTAGTTTTGGTGCCTGTCCTGGATCTCACTCTGTAGACCAGGCTGGCCTCAAACTCAGAAATCTGCCTGGCCCTGCCTCCTGAGTGCTGGGATTAAAGGCATGCGCCGCCACCGCCTGGCGCTTATTCTTACTTATGAATGCCCGGCCTTAGCTTGGCTTAGTTTCTAGCCAGCTTTACTTAACTTATTATCCCATCTTCCTTTTGCCTCTGGGCTTTTCCCATTCTCTTACTTCCATAAATCTTAGTAAATCTTACTCTTACTCTGTGGCTTGCTGTGTACCTGGGTGGCTGGCCCCTGGAGTTCTCCTCCTTCTCTGGCTGCTTCCTCCCAGATTTCTCCTTCTATATATTCTCTCTGCCTGCCAGCCCCGCCTATCCTTTCTCCTGCCTTGCTATTAGCCACTCAGTTCTTTACTAGACCATCAGGTGTTTTAGACAGGCACAGTAACACAGCTTCACAGAGTTAAACAAATGCAACACAAGCAAAAGTAACACACCTTAAAATAATATTCCCCAACACAGTCCTTTGTCCCTCGGGGAAAAGATCCCTTCCCATCTCCCTTGCCCCTTTTCTCCACTCTCCTTGGTCTCTTATTCCTTGTCCACTGTCTCTCTAGGGTAAATAAATTTCCTGTGTGCTAAGAACTTGGTCTTGGTGTGTCCTGTGCCAATTTCAGTTCCTTTAAGATAGGTAGGTAGGTGGGTAGGTAGGTAGGTGGGTGGGGAGAGAGAGAGAGAGAGAGAGAGAGAGAGAGAGAGGAGAGAGAGAGAGAGAGAGAGGTGTAACAATAATAAAGAAAGAGGAAGAGGCCAATGCTTTGGAAGGGAGTGAGAGGAACAGGAGAGAGGTTAGGATAGAAATGACGTAAATACAGTGCTTATGTATGAAATTCAATAACATTAAAAATTCATGTTTAACCCCTTCATGATAAAGGTCTCAGAGAGATCAGGAATGCAAGGAACATTCCTAAACACAATAAAGGCAATTTACAGCAAGCCAACAGCCACCATCAAATTAAATGGAGAGAAACTCAAAGCAATACCACTAAAATCAGGAACAAGACAAGGCTGTCCACTCTCCCCATATTTATTCAATATAGTACTAGAAGTTCTAGCTAGAGCAATAAAACAACAAAAGGAGATCAAAGGGATACAAATCGGAAAGGAAGAAGTCAAACTTTCACTATTTGCAGATGATATGATAGTATACATAAGTGACCTCAAAAACTCTACCAGGGAACTCCTACAGCTGATAAACTCCTTCAGTAAAGTGGCAGGATACAAAATCAACTCAAAAAAATCAGTAGCCCTCCTATACACAAATGATAAAAGGGCTGAGAAAGAAGTCAGAGAAACATCACCCTTTACAATAGCCACAAATAATATAAAATACCTTGGGGTAACACTAACTAAACAAGTGAAGGACCTTTTTGACAAGAACTTTAAATCTCTAAAGAAAGAAATTGAAGAAAATATCAGAAAATGGAGGGATCCCATGCTTATGGATAGGTAGGATTAATATAGTAAAAATGTCAATCTTACCAAAAGCAATCTACAGATTCAATGCAATCCCCATCAAAATCCCAACACAATTCTTCACAGACTTGGAAAGAAAAATACTCAACTTCATATGGAAAAACAAAAGACCCAGGATAGCTAAAAGAATCCTATATAATAAAGCAACCTTTGGAGGCATCACCATTCCTGACCTCAAACTCTATGATAGAGCTATACTAATAAAAACAGCTTGGTACTGGTATAAAAACTGACATATGGACCAATGGAATCGAATTGAAGACCCTGACATTAATCCATGCACATATGAAGACCTGGTTTTTGACAAAGGAGCCAAAACTATACAATGGAAAAAAGAAAGTATCTTCAACAAATGGTGCTGGCGTAACTGGATGTCAATATGTAAAAGGTTACAAATAGATCCATATCTGTCACTATGCACAAAACTCAAGTCCAAGTGGATAAAAGACCTCAACATAAATCCAGTTACACTAAACTTAATACAAGAGAAAGCAGGAAGTAATCTTGAAGGCATTGACACAGGAGATCACTTCTTAAATATAACACCAACAGCACAGACCCTGAGCACAATTAATAAATGGGACCTCTTGAAACTGAGAAGCTTTTGCAGGGCAAAAGACACGGTCAATAAGACAAAAAGACAGCCTACAGAGTGGGAAAAGACCTTCACCAACCCCACATCTGACAGAGGACTGATCTCCACAGTATATAAAGAACTCAAGAAACTAGACATCAAAATACTGAACAATCCAATTTAAAAAAAAAATGGACTAAAGAGCTAAACAGAGAATTCACAAAACAAGAATCACAAATGACTGAAAGACATTTAAAGAAATGCTCGGGGTTGGGGATTTAGCTCAGTGGTAGAGCACTTGCCTAGCAAGCACAAGGCCCTGGGTTCGATCCTCAGCTCAAAAAAAAAATGCTCAACATCCTTACTCATCAGAGAAATGCGAATCAAAAGACTCTAAGATACCACCTTATACCTGTCAGAATGGCTATGATCAAAAACACTAATGACAGTCAGTGTTGGAGAAGATGCGGAGCAAAGGGAACACTCCTCCACTGTTGGTGGGAATGCAAGCTTGTACAACCACTGTGGAAATCAGTATGGCGGTTTCTCAGAAAATTGGGAATCAATCTACCTCAAGACCAAGCCATCTCACTCTTGGGCATATACCCAAGGAATGCTCAATCATTCACAAAGATACATGCTCAGCTATGTTCATAGCAGCATTATTCGTAATAGCCAGAACCTAGAAACAACCTAGATGCTCGTCAACTGAAGAATGGATCAAAAAAATGAGGTACATATACACAATGGAGTACTACTCAGCAGAGAAAAACAATGACAGCATGAAATTTGCAGGCAAATGGATGGAACTAAAAAATATCATCCTGAGTGCTCGCTTCAGCAGCACATATACTAAAAAATATCATCCTGAGTGTGATAACTCAAACCCAGAAGAACAAACATGGTATGTACTCACTCATAAGTGGATTCTAGATATAAAGCAAAGGACAATCAGACTGCAACCCACAGAACCAGGGAGGCTACATAGCAGGGGGATCCCTAGGATGACTGTGGTTTATAATAAGTTTTGGGTTTACTCAATTACTGGGCAAGCCTCAATGAAACATTTCACTATTAGGGAAAGAATTTATACTGTATCAAGCTGATAATAGAAAAATTAATTAATTAATGTTTAGTCTTAACATCCCTGCTGTAAATGTACCTATGTCTGTAAATGTTTCACTGGGCTTTCCATCTCTTCAATCTATCTGTTAGTCCCTATGCCAGAACCCCACTGCTTTGATAACTGTAGGTTTGAAGTGAGTTTCAAAGATGGGGCATATGAGTCATCCATCTTTATTCTTCTCCAAGATTGTTCGGTCTCTTCAGGGGCCCCTATGGTACCAGATGACTCCGAGGGTCAGCGTTTCCGTTTTTATAGACTAACAAACAAAAATGATGAGCAGTTGGCGGGTAGGATGGGAAGGGCTGCTGGAACTTCCGTAGGGGTTGTGTTGACTCTGCAATCACTTTGGGCAGTGGTGACAGAGAGCCCAGCTGGAGAAGGGCAAAACGGGCCCAGTCAGAGCAAAGTATTGCAGACCACGGACAAAAATCAGAAAAGTCCAGCTTTCTACTCTGCGGGGGTTAAAGGGTCTACAAAGAAGCAGTGCCACCAAAATAATGCTGGGTGTTGACAAAGCAGGATTTCTGGGATCCCTGCCCTCCTCCCTGGATTAGGCCACAACTGGGCATGAGGGTGGGGTGAGAAGGCAGGGGCTGAGTATACTTGAAACTTAACAGTTTAACAGAAAATGAAACAAAGAATTAAAATTGGGTAAAGAGGAAGTGCCCTTAGCTCTCCCCTTAGAAGGAAAAAACTGCTGGAGTCCTTTACTGAACCAGAAACTACAGCCGCTGGTGCAATAAAAATAAACACATGTAGACAGATACAGGGGAGTGGCACCTTCAGTGCCCCACCCCCACCCCCACCCCGCCACCGTCGAGGCCGCTGGAGGAGGAGGCGGGGCACTAACTGGAAATTAGCAGCCGCCCTTTGGGAGCAGACTCCTCCCCTCCGGTACCTGTCCTTCCCTGGTGGAGCTGACCTCTGAAGGCTTGCTCATTAGGAAAGACCTGGTTGGTAAATATCTCCTGCCCTGACCCCCTTGCACGGTACAGGACACGGCGGCCCAAAGTGTACCACTTTGGAATCCTTTAAGATGAGCAGGGAGAAAGAGCTTTCGAGAGAATTCCCTTACATCATCAATGCTTCCCTGGGAGTTTCATCAGGGAAGAATGATAGACTTGTCCCAGGAGAGGAAACTCAAAGTCAGCTCACCGCCAGAGGAACTCGATCCTCCCGTCTGTTCATTTTCCCCGTGCACCTCGCAGGCTGTCTACAGCCCGTCCCTCTCTCCCAGGAGGATGCTTAGGCGCCCTTCTTGTTCTGTGGTAGCCTCTTTGCTTTCCTATGGTGCACCCTACAGGTACCAAACACCTGTTCTCACATTAACCTGTCTACTGTCCGACTATTTCAAAGACTCAGTTAAGGAGTCCTCAGGGAATCAAGGCCTCCCTTTCCCTACACCCTTCCGTGCTCTCCCTCCATCCTTCGCCGCCCCAGCCCCCTCCCAGCTCCTCCGTTAGCCACCTTGGGTCTGGGGATCCTCGGAGAATGCTGCGGCCTTCCTCCAGGCAAGAGTCGGTTCTGGTCAACGGCAAGTACAGAGAACAGTACGTAGAGAAAAAGATGGGACCGCTGGCTGGGGTGGATTTTAGTAGGTAAGCGAGGAAAAACGTCAATGAAATTTGCATTTAACCTTAACAAGGCTTTTTTCCCAGAGGAACTTGGTTACCCCTTTCCCGCCCACGGGTTTCTGCAAAGTCTATCCTGCCCTCTGGTGGCATCACTTTGTTACTACATAGTCCCCTTTTGGACCTTATGCATTTTTTAGCTTTCTGACTTTTGGAGCTCTGGTGATATTTGCTTTACATATGAGATATCTTGGAGAAGGGATATATAGTAGTTACTTTTCTGTTGCTGTGATAAAACACCATGAGCAAGGCAACTTATAAAAGAGTTTATTTGGTGGGCGGTGGTGGCGCACACCTTTAATCCCAGCACTCAGGAGGCAGAGCCAGGTGGATCTCTGTGAGTTCAAGGCCAGCCTGGGCTACAGAGTGAGTTCCAGGAAAGGCGCAAAGCTATACAGAGAAACCCTGCCTCGAAAAACAAAAAGAAAAAAAGAAAAAAGAAAAAGAGTTTATTTGGGCTTTCATACAGTTCCATCATGGCAGGGAATCATAGCCATCAGAGGCAGCCATGATGCAGGAACAACATGCAGGAACAGAGCTCAACATCTCTAACTGCAAGCAGGAAACAGAAAAAGGGGCCTGGAAATGGTGTGTGACTTTGAAACCTCAAAACCTACCCTCAGGGATGTACTTCCTCAAGGTAGGCCACATCTAACCCTCTCTCAAACAGCACCTTCAAAATGGAGACCACACACTCAACTATCTGAGCCTATGGGGATGGAGGCGTTTTTATTCAAATCACCAGACCCAGAAATGTCAGACTTCCTGGAGATGCCCCCAAAATGTTCCCCTGGTAAATGATCCCACAATTGGCCATCTGCCCATCCAGAGAGCACTAAAATAAAACAATGGTGCAAGGGGAAAAAAAAGCCTTTCATAAGCCTAACCTGCCCTCTCTTGACCCCTTGAGTCCTGCAGAGACCAAAAAGAAATAAAGGACTCAAAGGAGAAGACGCTGAGCAAGAAGGAAAAACAGTCAATCTGCTTCCTCTGTGGCCCACGGGGTTATCAAAAGGAATCCCTTCTTACCACTAAATGAATCTGGGAAGACTAGGGTATTGCCAGGGATTTTAACGGGTCTAGCAATGTTAAGGTGATCAGATCTGCGGGGGTACCCTGCACAGAAGGGCTGTGCTTTGCAAATACCTACAGCTGTGGGGCTTTATCTAGCCAGACAGGATGCTGAACCCTGAAGCAACCCAAACTGTGTGCTGGAGTTTTCAAGTAACCAGAAGTGTGCTCATCCGTGAGGAGCAGGAAGTTCTTGGGTGAGCACTGTAGAAATAACTCCCACCCCTGGCCTGAAAATTCCCAAACTATCTCATTCCTTTCCCTCTATTACTTCCTCACTCTAAAACAACTTATTTACAGGGCTGATAAAATTGCTCAGTGGCTAAGGGCACATGTCGCTCTTGTGGGAGTCTCGGGTTTGGTTCCCAGAAACCATGTGATGGCTCACAAGCATCTGTAACTCCAGTGTGGGGCGGGGGGGGGGGGGGGG